GAAGTTATAGTTCAAGTGTTTCTTTTGAGGAAACTACTGAGCTGGCGATCCTGAAGTTATAGTACCAGTCAAAGTAATTCAAAAATTTGTTATAACTGGAGCCAAATCATGCATTCGAAATGTTATGTGGAAAATAAAATCGCAAAATTTAGCTGAAGAAATCGCACAAAGCATCAATGGAATTGAAAAAAAAGACAATGGAACACCAGCAAAATAAAGTATTGAAATCGATGAAAGATTTCCAACCTAGCAAAGATCCAGGCACCTGAACATTGCAACATTTGGAACAAAAAATCTGTCCACACAAACGGCAGTGATGACGCCTTCGGAAAGCAGTGAAACGTTCCTGGCACTCATAACATTCTCTGCCACTGGAATCCGGCATCCAGTAGCGCCGAAAATCACTGCTGAAAGCAAATCCATAACGATCCTGCAATCCTCTATTCTTTCAAGCAGAGAGGCACGGAGATGTCTAATTACACAGCCAAAACGCTCATTCGGAAGTTTTCCTCTCCGCAACTAACTGATCCCTGTTCCACAATAATCTGGTAAAACAGGATAATCAAGCAAAGCTGATATCGTGCCGAAGCTGACATCGATGATTCATATTTTCTAATAGAAAAACCAGTCTGTCCTTCAGTCATTCATTCGTTTCATTGGTAATGCGCTACTAGCGTATGTCAAGAAGTTAATAACCGTTATCAGTTTGCTTCTAAGCAATCTTTACAGTGGATAGTTGCTGCTAGCACGTACTACAGCTCGGGCTACTTCCGAGTACCACCACTTCTTACAGAAATAAATAAATATACGGCATTAATTTTCGATGAACTGGTGGTGGCCTGCCTTAATGTGTACCAGAATTTGAACTTACTCTTTAGCTAATTCTCGAAAAAAGGAGAGATCGAACAGGTGGTTCTTAAAAACAACATGTTACTTTTCGGGTTACTTCTAAATGTTTCCGTGTCCGATACACGCAGAAAGAGAAAGGACAAGGAGGAAAACGATCCGGAGACCCTACTGATACAATGTCAATAAAAATCAAAATCCGTCCCGTATTCAATTTCACTGAGAGCCGAGAAAAGCAGAAAACAGCACGAGCGATAGCACATTCCAAGTAACAATAATACAAAAATAGTTAATAATTACCTCTCATAATCAACAAGTGCAGGATTTGGAGATCTGAAAATTGCTGCAATGCGTGACAATTTGCTCTTCTCCTGCTGCAGCTGTTGCTGTTGTTCGCTTGGTCCTTCTGAGTTCAAACCAGTTCCTTCATTTTCGCCTATAAAAATGATAAGTGCTTTGTGCGGTGGGCTTAACAGGAAAAAAAAAAAAAAAGCTGAACGATATATCTGTCATGCAAGATTTGCCAAAAAAAGAAATTGATTTATTAGCAAATATAAGAGCAATTTCGTAAACTAGGGCACATCAATCGTGAAAGAGATGAAGTTTAAAGGAAAATCTGGATTTCCCGA